TTCAACAAAATCTTCCGAATCATTGATGATTTCTTCAAGTGTAAAATAATGTAATGAATCTCTGACCTTGACTAAGCCTTAAGATAATGACTTACATTAATTTAAGAGGAATACATTAAAAAAAATCTAAATACCAAAAATGTGAGATAAAGTCAAAGGTAAACAATGAGAAATAAATTAGTGTTCTCTCTCACCTAAGATGATTTAGGTGAGAATGATCTAGTTAATTTAGGTATTGAAATTAGTCATGACAACTATTTTGTCGATTTAACATAGACTAACCTGTGTGTATATAATAACATGAGACATATCACCTCGTCTTCCATGAATTTCAATATCAGTTGAACTCATGTGGTGGTCGGGGGTGGGGGGGGGGGGTGCTCGATGGTGAGGTATGAATCGGTTGTATGATAATAAAACTACAGCGTTGAGCAAATGAGGATTATGACCATGATAACGACCAGGTGACACTCTTGAGAAATATTCCCCATCAGTACTTAAGAAACCTCCACCTTTAGTGACACCTCCACACGTCTATATTGGTATCTGGACACTCTTGGCTGATTGGAGTTGGTTAAGTTAGGTTAGGTTGGGTTAGGTTAGGTTTGGTTGGGTTAGGTTTGGTTAGGTTAGGTTAGGTTAGAATAGGTTAGATTAGGTTTTGTATAATATTGTATTTACCTGAGTTAAGGCGTCTCCAGTTACAGTTTCTATTTGGTTTTAATATCATATTGAAGATGAAATTCTGTAAAATAAACTTACCTGTGCATTATTTTCTTACTTTATTATTTACACGTTTTATCTCTTCCGGTTTAGGTGATGGTACAGTAAAACCTCCATATAACGGATTTCTCTCTCTCCATAAGAACATAAGAACATAAGAAAGTGGGATACTGCAGGAGGCCGACTGGCCCATACAGGGCAGATCCCTTTCACACCCATCCCAGCACTTCCATGTGCCTATCCAACTTCGTCTTGAAGCTCCCTAGCGTCCCCTATCCTACTATAGCACTCGGTAGCCTATTCCACATATCCACAACTCTATTACCAAACCAGTGCTTGCCTATATCCTTTCTCAATCGGAATTTATCTAATTTAAAGTCATTTGTTCTAGTTATTTCGTTATTACTGAGCTTCAGAACATCTTCCATTTTACCCTTGTTAATCCCACTTACCCATTTGAGCACCTCTATCATATCTCCCCTAACTCTACGCCTCTCTAATGAATGCAAGCCTAAGCTTTTCAGTCTTTCTTCATATGGAAGGTTTCTAATATTATTGATCATTTTTGTCATTCTTCTTTGTACTCTCTCCAAAGAATCTATGTCCATTCTATAATAAGGACACCAGAATTGAACCGCATAATCCATGTGTGGCCTCACTAATGCTAGGTAAAGTTTCAAGATAACGTCAGCAGTTCTGTTACTCACACTCCTAGATATGAACCCAAGAATCCTGTTTGCCTTGTTGCGAACGCTAATACATTGTTTTCTAGGTTTCAAGTCGTTGCTAACAAATACACCTAGATCTTTTTCACAATCTGAGTTTTCTATTTCCGTGTTACCTAGTTTATACTTAACGTTTGTATTCGTCTTGCCTATCTGTAGTACCTTGCATTTATCAGTATTAAAATTCATTTGCCAGTCTACTGACCACTCATGTAAGGTATCTAGATCTCTTTGAAGGTGTTCAAAGTCACTGTCTGAATTTATCACTCTCCCCATTTTGGTATCATCTGCAAATTTACTAATCCTACTAGTTATACCCAAATCAAGATCATTAATGAATATAACAAACAGCAGAGGGCCTAATACAGATCCCTGGGGAGCTCCGCTTTTGACCGCACCCCAGTCTGACTTAAATCCATTTATGCTGACTCTTTGTTTCCTACCAGTTAACCATGACCTAATCCATTTTAATAATGATCCACCTATTCCATGTGCTTCTACCTTCCTTATCAATCTCTCATAAGGGACTCTATCGAATGCTTTACTGAAATCTAAATAAATTATATCATATGACTTATCATTATCTACCGCTTCATATACTTCTGAGAAAAAGCTAAGCAAATTTGTGAGACAAGAATGTCCCTGGGTGAACCTGTGCTGAGAAGAATGAATTAAGTTGAATGTTTCAAGGTGGCTTCTGATTTTCGTAGCAATAATTGACTCTAGCAACTTGCCTATGATTAACGTGAGACTAATGGGACGGTAATTTGATGCAATTGATTTATCACCTTTTTTGAAAATCGGAACTACATTTGCAAGTTTCCAAGCTTGTGGCACTAGGCCCGATTCTAATGACTTATTAATTAAAACTGCTAATGGATTACTCAACTCATCTCTACATTCTTTTAATATTCTAGCATATACCTCGTCTGGACCAGGCGATTTATGAGGCTTCAGTTTGTTAATTACTTTAAGCACATCGTTACTAGTAATATTGATATTCATCAACATATTTTCTATACTGTCGTTATATACCTTATGAACTTCTGGGAAACTGTGCTAGGGTTTTCATTTGTACGGGAGCGAAATGACTATTTAACGTACTACATTTTTAACTCATCATCAGTCATTTCTCCTGTCGTAGTTTTAAGGGGACCTATTGTATCTCTAACCTTTGATTTATACAGTTGATAAAAAGCTTTTGGGGTTATTTTCGATTCGTTTGCCTTGATTTCATATAATTTCTTTGCTTTCCAATTTCTGTTTTTACTCGTCTTGTTAGGTTCTGATAGTAACCAAGTAAGTGATTTTCGCCTTTCTTAACTTTTCTATATACTCCTTTCTTTTTCCTAGAAGATCTAAGAGTCTATTATTCATCCATTTTGGTTGGTTCCGTATCGATCTGAATTTTCTTTTAGGGATGTGTTTATTTTGGGCATTATTGATTGTCGCAATAAATTGTTCATAAGTAGCTGCTAAATTAAATTCGGGGTTCTCCCGTCCTAAGTTGACAGTTTCCGGAGGTGTGGGGGGGATTAATCTTTTGACCATAGGGTCATCCCTTAGGTCTCTCCTTAAGCTACCGTAATTAGCCTTCCTAAAATCTGGGATCAAGGCCGAATTTTCCTTCTTCCTGCCATTCCATATTATGTTAAAATATATGGCTTTATGATCACTGTTTCCTAGTTCGTCTCCAATCCCAACATCTTTTACTAGATTTTCATTATTACTAAGAACTAAATCGAGGATATTATTTCCTCTAGTGGGCGAGTTTATGAATTAATATAAAAAACTATCTTGTACTACTTCTAGAAAATCTTCAGATTCATTATCGCTAAGTTGATTTTTCCAATCTAAGCCTGAAAAGTTGAAATCGCCTAGAATACAAACTGTACATTGTTTCTATCAGATGCCTTCTTTATTTCCTCCCATAGCAATTTACCATCGTTCCTACTCAAATTGGGTGGTCTATATATAACACCAATGACTACGGACTCATTGCCCTCACCAATCTCTACCCAAATACTTTCATTGTCGCTATTTGTTTTAATGTTTGATTTATTGCACCTTTTTAATGACACCCTGATATACACTGCTACACCGCCCCCTCTCCTTCCTACTCTGTCAAATTTAAATAGGTTATATCCTGGAATATGAAATTCTGCTAAAAACTGTTTGCTGTTTGAATTTATCCATGTTTCCGTTATTGCAATTATATCTATGTTCTCTTTACTAACAATGGCTCTGAGCTGGTCCATTTTGTTACACAAGCTTCTACTATTATTATAACACTCAATATATTTCTTCCGTTTCTATCTGTTTTACATTTATTACTTTGATGTTTGTTATTATGACTAACTATATTTTCAGCATTATCTACTTCTGTTTCACTGCTGTTATTTTCACATGGTATTTTCCTCTCTTTACCATTGATGGGATTTGGACATATTAAAACCCCACCTTTACTACCCTGTCAACTATCTTCGCTAGCACGGCCACCCCCTTCCTACTTAAATGCACCCCATCCCTTGCATACATACTATCATTACCATAGTACAGGCTCCAATTATCAATGAATGGCGTCGACAGCTCTTTACACTGTTCTTCCAACCAGCAATTGAAACCGATTGCACGGGACATCCATTCACGACTGGCACCACGTCTAGGTAGGATAGAGCAAGCAATAGGAGTTCCACCCTTCACTCTAATCTTATCTAGAGCTTCCCTATACAGCTTACGCAGTTCGACACTGGTAAGCTTACCTACGTCATTGCCTCCTGCACTGAGTAAGACTATGGGGTTGTCTCCAGTCATCAATGACGTTCTCCACTCTCTCCAGTACTCTACCTATCCCTGCCCCGGGGAGACACTCGAGCTTCCTAACTTTAGTGCAGAGATTGTTACCTAAATACTTCACCATCGAGTCTCCCATGACAGAAACACATTTGACCTTACCTGAGTGTGGTGATTTCTTACCTGCGCTACTCCCTCTCTCCACACTAACAGAGGGAGTAGCACTCGTTGTGTTACTAGCACCTTCCTCACACTCGTCACTTAAGGTGCTATACCTGTTGTTTAGGTCTACAGCTGAGTGCCTTTTTAGAGTGCATTTTGTAGCACTAGCAGCAACTACCTTCCATGAATCCACTTCAACTTCACCGTCCTTCACGACACTGGCAAGGGATTTCTTCTCCTCTAAAACTAGCTTCAAGGCTAAGTTTTCGCGCTTGAGACTCTGGACCTCCTTCTCAACCTTCTCCAGTTACTTGGAGGTTTCACATCTAACGGGCCCTTGATATAATTGGTGTTCATGTCTAAATAGTTTCATTAATTGGAGGTTTCTCATTTAATAGACCCTCGAGATAATGGAATTTCCTCTCCCTGTAGTCCGTTAAATAGAGGTTTCACTGTATAAGACTATTACGAACCGGAAGTAATAAAGGTGGTCACACTAACACACACACACACACGTTCATTGTTATAAACTAATATTCTTTTGTATACAGAAAAACCCTCAAATTAATTCATACATAAAATAAACAAAATAATACGCAGTTTTTAGCCACGTTTATTGATAATAAATAATACCCAGCCTTTATCGATATTCTGGTGGATGAGGCGCCAACCAGTGCAGGGACTAGTGACCTGTCTTACTGCCTTGGGGTAAAGGGATCTCTGAGGACCAGGCGGTGTAAGGGTGTATACTGTAGCTTAGACGGGTGTGATGTTTACCTTTATAATTGACAGGTAAACACAGAGGTGGATGATGAACTTGGTACACACACGTGACACTGCCAGGCCATGTAGAAATCTCTTTAGTTTTATGGTAATATATCCTATGTTAATTGTACTGGTACTTAATATATACAATTGAATATATAAACACACACACACGAACCTAGCGTCTCTATGTTAGTTTATATATAATTTTTCACATGTAAAATAAAGATTACAGACAGCTATGTAAATGAGAGTATAAGTTATGTTTGAAGAAGTCAGCTTTAAGATAGGTAGAAAGTTACTTAGCGTTAAGTTACCATCCGAAAATGGCTGGTAACATATCCTCACTTAAGATACTGGGAATGAACAGGTAATTCTTGTATCTTTGGTTGTTTGGGTGAGCACGGGGCCAAAATGTTCTAACTCTGGACTCTGTGAGGTAGTCATCGTGGTTCTTTGTGGTGACAGCAGGAAAGAGGGAGAGATCTAGTTCTCGGGTGTGTTGACAAGAGGTCCTCTCGTGTTGAACATTAAGGTGTAGTGGTGCTGCCGTTGACCTGGTTGTGTCGTCCCTGACCTCCAGTAGATCTTACAGGCAAGGTCACGACGATGGTACTGGCCGGGGTCATCTTTCTGCCGACTCATTTACACGGATGCAAACGAACCGTGTTTTCAAGTGTGTTTTATACAACACATAATTGGCTGTATATTACGTGGACTTAAAGGTCTTAGAAATGTGTTGTATATTTCTTGCCATCAAAATGGGTGTTGGTGGAGTCGTCGGGGTCAGGGAGGCACCAGCGCACCCACTTGTGGACCAGTTCTCGCTTGATGGCTTGATCCTTGTTGCATCCTGCCGACCACACAGAAAGATACGTGTTAACAAACTCACACATTAAAAGAGAGAGATAATAATGATAGTGATGATGCAGAATTACTGACTTGCCAGTTGCTTGTAAGAAGAAGATATTATTATATAGAACTTTGGTGACTATAAAGTTAAAAGACAGAAGTTCCAAAGGTAATGTATTAAGGCCAGGGTAAAAATATAAGAGGTCACAGTTCAGAGTCCAAGATTGGAGGTCACAGCTCGGAGTTAACAGTTTACTGTCATATGTTAAAACTAAGAGGTCAGAGGCTCACCGGTGCAGACGCTGACAAGGATGCCGATGGTGAGGGCCACCACGAAGCCGAGTGTTCCCAGCAGGGTGTAGGAGATTCCCAGCAGCTTCTTAGGGAAGTCCAGGTCCTCCACTCTGCCAGATGACAACAGGAAAACAATGAGAAACTGTGAATGACGCACCAAAAGTTTTAAATTGTTTGTGAGACTTACCTGACGACAGGTGATTATGAGACTCAACTGACGACAGGTGTTTGTGAGACTTACCTGACAACAGGTGATTATGAGACTCACCTGACGACAGGTGTTTGTGAGACTTACCTGACAACAGGTGATTATGAGACTCACCTGACGACAGGTGTTTGTGAGACTTACCTGACGACAGGTGTTTGTGAGATTCACATGACAGGTGTTTATGAGACTCACCTGACGACAGGTGTTTGTGACTCACCTGACGATGGGCTTTGGTGTGGTAGTGGTGATGTTGAGGTCGGCAGGGCAGCCTTCAATGGAGGTGGGGAGGTAGTAAGGTGTGATGCCCACGGCCGTCGACCCGAAGTACAACCCCAGAGCCACGGTGGTGCCCAGCAGCATGGCGGTACACGCGCCCTGGGGGAGATGTACTGTACTGTAATATACGTCAGATGAACGTCCTGCCTACAGTGGCGCTCGTTTATGACAACAGAATACGTTTCCCTTCACCTCGTAATAACAAACATATGTAAGCTGCGTCAGACCAGTTTCTGTTGTGACATTTGAACGCAGACTCACCTTGGCATTGGTGAAGGGCATGAAGATTGCCATGACAAAAGCGGCCATGAGGGGACCAGTCACAGACCAAATCACGGCGATGGCGGCTTGCAGGATGCCTCCCGTCTTGCCCGCCATGAAGGCCAGACCCACCGCCAGGAACCCGTACACCAGCGCTGCCGGCAGTCAAGCATTGAGGAACCCATCCTTAACCATTACACTGGCTGTATATGTAACCGGTCGGAATTTGCTGGACTTTAATTTCTCACTTGACTTGGGGTTTATTAAAATTTAATAGATGGTAAAGGCAGTGGAAGCGCCCCTTTGAGAAAAATCCCGAACCAGCACAAGAACACTTAACTCTACTACACAAAATGAACTGTCCGTGACCCGTGGAAGGATAGCGTCTGTGACTGGGATGAATGAGACACACTGTAAAATTTAGACACTTATATTCCCTCCAACACTACAAACACAATCAAATAATGGTACACCAATATGCGCACCTCTTAACTTAAACTTTAACCACTACTCTGGGGAATAAAAGTTATACATGACATAGAAATTATTAGAAACACAGGCAACAATAAATTTAAAGTATCAAGAAATGTTAATTGCACATATGAACAGGCCTTAAGGGCTTTCACAAAATAATATCAGTCACTTAGGAAATGGTACTAAAAATAAGAAATTAAATACTCCACAATGAATAGGCCTTAAGGGTCTTCAACAAAATAATATCAGTCACTGAGGAATGGTAATAAAAGATAAGAAATTAAATACTCTACAATGAATAGGCCCTAAGGGCTTTCAGCAAAATAATATCACTCAACAAAATTATAGCACCCCAACAGGTGTACACTTCCTAACCTAACCTAACCACTGCTCTGGGGAACAAGGTTATACCTGAGATCAGAATTATGAAGAATTAGAGGCATTAAAAGAATCAAATCACAGTATCACTCTGGTTCCACTTAATGGCACAAACATTCAAAAAAACACTACTATCAAAATTATTTAAGAAATATTAAACTACACACGTCAAGATAATATCAGTCTGAGGAATGGTGTTAACTACACCCGTGATAAGGAAGATAAAATGTTCCTCTAGGTATCTCCTAGAGTCCTAGACTCACGGTCTCAGTGTGTGACCATTAATATACTCAGATAGCCTCAGTGTACTCCCAGTGCGTCCATGGGCAGGAAGAGAGTGAGCCAATCAGACCTTGTGCAGTTGAGAGAAACTTTAGCTTCCCGTTAGCAAGAGGGTTTCACTAGCTGACCGAGGACACGTGGTGTTGTGCACCGGAGTGGTAAGAACTGATCACCCACTGCCGATGCTGGTCCCGTGTCGTTTTAGTTGTCGGGAGCACTCGTTCACTCAAGAGATCCTTTGCTACCCCGCTAAACAGTGACAGGCCTACACTGATCGGTCCAATGGCGACAATCGCCACCCTCAATCATCAACGGCAGTCAATCTCTCGCAGTCAACTCCGGTCAACTCCAATCAACTCCAGTCAAGTGGGTTCTGACGGAAACCCTGAAATGAACTCACTATTAGCTCTAGTTTACTTTATCACTGCCCTATCTAACCCTGTCTGAGATCGAATGAGACTTACTTGTTATACTGCAATAGCGCAGCACAGGTGACTAGGCCACGTGACTATTTCTGATGGACGCGCGGAACGTCTTGTCTGTGTGAATGCTCTCTGGGACTGGCCTAGCCAGCGTCGTGTCTCCCCAAGGCGCTAGCTTGGGCCTACATGATATATTTTCCGCCTAACTAATAACTCCTTGGGACACCCGTAACATTATTCAGACTGCTAAACGATCTATAATAATTTCAAATTCAATAATAGTCCCTTAACTTCATGAATCGCATCATTATTAATTCGGTAAATTACATTTAATATCATATAGGCCTAGTTCCGCAGTCTCTCGCTACGAGCAGGCAGCGCTCCCTCCCCTCAGATGACCTTGAACGCTCAGTATCACTCATGGCGGGGCATTTGAAATTACTCTGAAATTTCTGAATATTACAATCGACCCCCCTAAAAAAGACAGCACTGTCCTCATGTGCTGAGAAAACATGCATACGACCCCCCTAAAATTTTGTTCTAAGGACTGCACCTCACCCCTTTTGCTAAATGCAGCATTCCCGTCTTCTCTTCTCTCCTTTTCTCTCCCGCTAACACTCGACCCCCCTAAAAAAAGACAGCACTGCCCTCATGTGCTGAGAGAACAACTTAGAACCCACCTTCAACTCTGTACTATTCCACTCGCAGCTAGCAACTCCATTTCTTCCTAGCCCAACTCAATCCAACCAGAACATCACGCTCCCCTTTTGCCTGGCCCTTAACTAGAGAACCAATGTCAAAAAAAATACACAGTCCAAAACAAACATGCTCTCCTTTGGCCTGGCCCTTGAACTAAGAGGAACCAGTGTCAAAAAAAATACTCAGTCCATCTCCAACATGCTCTCCTTTTGCCTGGCCCTTGAGCTAAGAGGAACCAGTGTCAAAACAATACTCAGTCCACGTCTCCGAACCTCATGCCGGCAGACCAACCCTCTGACAATGTACCAGTCCATCTTAGTGAGGCCCTGGACATTACAACCGTACTCTCAATCCCGCTCATGACAGCAACTCAATCCCGCTCATGACAGCAACCACTACTCAACGCACATCTCTGACCTAACCATCTCTCCAATCCCCTCTGCCCTACTCACAACTCCTCCAACTCACCCCCTACAACCTGCCTTTTCTCATTACCATGCACCCTAAACTGTAATCGGTCGGCTTCGTCTTGTCTCTCAGCTGGAGGGCTCGATCAACCTCTCTGAACTACTTACGTACCCCTATATTTCCCACTTGGACCTCACACTTCCTTGACTGCTGGACGTGTGCCTGACATTCACCCCTTGTTTCCTCCCTGAACCGTTGAATGTGTGCCTGAGACTCCCACTTGAACCTGTTTACCTGTGCTTGATAATCCCTCTTTCGGTCTCCGAACTCCTCTCTCAGCTGCACCAATGTCCCGCGGCCGTCTCTCTTCCTCCTCATACACATCTCTACTGTCAAGCCTAACCAACTCAGTCCGGGCACAAGGATGAGCATCAGTGCGAGTTCAATCCCTACCATTGCTAACCAACACATGATGGCGTTCATTATCCCAACCACAGTACTATCAGTCACGACATTAAAAACTACGCTCTGCTACCATTTGTAACCGGTCGGAATTTGCTGGACTTTAATTTCTCACTTGACTTGGGGTTTATTAAAATTTAATAGATGGTAAAGGCAGTGGAAGCGCCCCTTTGAGAAAAATCCCGAACCAGCACAAGAACACTTAAATCTACTACACAAAATGAACTGTCCGTGACCCGTGGAAGGATAGCGTCTGTGACTGGGATGAATGAGACACACTGTAAAATTTAGACACTTATATTCCCTCCAACACTACAAACACAATCAAATAATGGTACACCAATATGCGCACCTCTTAACTTAAACTTTAACCACTACTCTGGGGAATAAAAGTTATACATGACATAGAAATTATTAGAAACACAGGCAACAATAAATTTAAAGTATTAAGAAATGTTAATTGCACATATGAACAGGCCTTAAGGGCTTTCACAAAATAATATCAGTCACTTAGGAAATGGTACTAAAAAATAAGAAATTAAATACTCCACAATGAATAGGCCTTAAGGGTCTTCAACAAAATAATATCAGTCACTGAGGAATGGTAATAAAAGATAAGAAATTAAATACTCTACAATGAATAGGCCTTAAGGGCTTTCAGCAAAATAATATCACTCAACAAAATTATAGCACCCCAACAGGTGTACACTTCCTAACCTAACCTAACCACTGCTCTGGGGAACAAGGTTATACCTGAGATCAGAATTATGAAGAATTAGAGGCATTAAAAGAATCAAATCACAGTATCACTCTGGTTCCACTTAATGGCACAAACATTCAAAAAAACACTACTATCAAAATTATTTAAGAAATATTAAACTACACACGTCAAGATAATATCAGTCTGAGGAATGGTGTTAACTACACCCGTGATAAGGAAGATAAAATGTTCCTCTAGGTATCTCCTAGAGTCCTAGACTCACGGTCTCAGTGTGTGACCATTAATATACTCAGATAGCCTCAGTGTACTCCCAGTGCGTCCATGGGCAGGAAGAGAGTGAGCCAATCAGACCTTGTGCAGTTGAGAGAAACTTTAGCTTCCCGTTAGCAAGAGGGTTTCACTAGCTGACCGAGGACACGTGGTGTTGTGCACCGGAGTGGTAAGAACTGATCACCCACTGCCGATGCTGGTCCCGTGTCGTTTTAGTTGTCGGGAGCACTCGTTCACTCAAGAGATCCTTTGCTACCCCGCTAAACAGTGACAGGCCTACACTGATCGGTCCAATGGCGACAATCGCCACCCTCAATCATCAACGGCAGTCAATCTCTCGCAGTCAACTCCAGGTCAACTCCAGTCAAGTGGGTTCTGACGGAAACCCTGAAATGAACTCACTGTTAGCTCTAGTTTACTTTATCACTGCCCTATCTAACCCTGTCTGAGATCGAATGAGACTTACTTGTTATACTGCAATAGCGCAGCACAGGTGACTAGGCCACGTGACTATTTCTGATGGACGCGCGGAACGTCTTGTCTGTGTGAATGCTCTCCGGAACTGGCCTAGCCAGCATCGCGTCTCCCCAAGGCGCTAGCTTGGGCCTACGTGATATATTTTCCGCCTAACTAATAACTCCTTGGGACACCCGTAACATTATTCAGACTGCTAAACGATCTATAATAATTTCAAATTCAATAATAGTCCCTTAACTTCATGAATCGCATCATTATTAATTCGGTAAATTACATTTAATATCATATAGGCCTAGTTCCGCAGTCTCTCGCTACGAGCAGGCAGCGCTCCCTCCCCTCAGATGACCTTGAACGCTCAGTATCACTCATGGCGGGCATTTGAAATTACTCTGAAATTTCTGGATATTACATATATATTGCTTATAGTGTAACATATTGTATGGTACAATGCAGCATCTTACCAGCGATAAGTTGAGGGTGGTGTGTGAGGGTGGGACCTACCTAGTAACTTGGTGATGAGGGTGTGGGTGGTGTGTGAGGGTGGGACCTACCTAGTAACTTGGTGATGAGGGTGTGGGTGGTGTGTGAGGGTGGGACCTACCTAGTAACTTGGTGATGAGGTGTGTGGGTGTTGTGTGAGAGTGGGACCTACCTAGTAACTTGGTGATGAGGGTGTGGGTGGAGGGTGAAGGTGGGATCTACCTAGTAACTTGATGATGAGGGTGTGGGTGGTGTGTGGAGGGGGACCACCTAGTAACTTGGTGATGAGTGTGGGTGGCGTGTGGAGTGGGACTCCATTGTAACTTGGTGATGAGGGTGGGTGAATGTGAGATTGGGACCCACCTAGTAACTTGATGATGAGGGTGGTGGTGGTGTGAGAGGTGGGACCTACCAGTAACTTGGCATATATGTGGTGTGTGGGTGGGACCTACCTAGTAACTTGGTAATGAGGGTGTGGGTGGTGAGGGTGAACCACCTAGCAACTTGTGATGAGGGTGTGTGCGGTGTGAGGGTGGACCTACCTAGTGTTGGTGATGAGGGTGTGGGTGGAATGTGAGAGTGGGACCTACCTAGAACCTGGTGATGGAGTGTGTGGTGGTGTGTGAGGTGGGACCTACCTACTAACTTGATGGGGGTGTGTGGTGTAAGAGGGGGACCTACCTAGCAAACCTTGGTAATGAGGGGGGGTGTGGGTGGAATGTGAGAGTGGGACCTACCTAGTAACTTGGTGATGAGGGTGTGGGTGGTGTGTGAGGGTGGGACCTACCTAGTAACTTGGTGATGGTGTGTTGGGACTCATAGAAGTTGGTGATATTGGGTGTGGGTGGTGTGTGAGGGTGGGACGTACCTAGTAACTAGGTGTTATTGGGTGGTGTGTGGTGGGACTACCTAGTAACTTGATGATGAGGGTGGGTGGTGTGTGAGGTGGGACCTACCTAGTATCTTAGTGATGAGGGTGTGGGTGGTGTGTAGAGGTGGGACCTACCTAGTAACTGGTGATGAGGGTGTGGGTGGTGTGAGGTGGGACCTACCTGGTAAGTTGGTGATGAGGGTGTGGGTGGTGTGTGTGAGGGTGGGACAAGTAGCTTGGTGATGAGGGTGTGGGTGTTGTGTGTGAGGTGGGACCTACCTCTTAACTTGGTGATGAGGGTGTGGTGGTGTGTGAGTGTGGGACCTACCTAGTAAGTTGGTGATGAGGGTGTGGGTGGTGTGAGGTGGGACCTACCTAGTAACTTGGTGATGAGGGGTGTGGGTGGTGTGTAGGGCCGGGACCTACTAGTAACTGGGTGATGAGGGTGTGGGTGGTGTGTGAGGTGGGACTACCTAGTAACTTGATGAGGGTGTGGGTGGTGTGTGAGGTGGGACCTACCTAGTAACTGGGTGATGTGAGGGTGTGGGTGGTGTGTGTGGGTGGTGTGTGAGGGTGGGACCTACCTAGTAACTTGGTGATGAGGGTGTGGGTGGTGTGTGAGGGTGGGACCTACCTAGTAACTTGGTGATGAGGGTGTGGGTGGTGTGTGAGGGTGGGACCTACCTAGTAACTTGGTGATGAGGTGTGTGGGTGTTGTGTGAGAGTGGGACCTACCTAGTAACTTGGTGATGAGGGTGTGGGTGGAGGGTGAAGGTGGGATCTACCTAGTAACTTGATGATTGAGGGTATGGGTGGTGTGTGAGGGTGGGACCTACCTAGTAACTTGGTGATGAGGATGTGGGTGGTGTGTGAGGGTGGGACCTACCTAGTAACTTGGTGATGAGGGTGTGGGTGGTGTGTGAGGGTGGGACCTACCTAGTAACTTGGTGATGAGGGTCTGGGTGGAGGTGGAGAGGGAGGCACAGCTTGGCAGCTTAGACAGCCAGTCTTCCCAGGTGACAGCTGCTTGAGAGTTCACTCCGGACGAGATGGTGCTGACCAGGTGAAGGGCAACTCGTTATTTTCACTATACTATTTATCCATCTCTTTGTTTATATCAATTAATTTATTTCTCTGTCTACACATCTGTTTGACTGTCAGTCTTTATCTATGAACATTATCCAGTTGTGGCACATTGTGTCAATATCCAGCAGGGCCTCAGGCAGGCAGAGAAGAATATACTTATGAAAATGAGGCCATACCTCAGCGCCCCGGAAAAGAGGCAGGATATGAAGAGTCCTGCCAGGCCAGGGACAGAGCTGAAGCGATCCACGACGTAGTACGGCAGGATCTGGTCCTTAGAGTGGATCAACCCGGCCTTCAGAGGATCGCAGTCCTCGTAAGTCGCGAACACCACCAGACCTGCAGTCAAACACCCAGAGGCAGGTGATACATTGATCAACAGGGAGTGTGAGACTGTGCATTGAATATTACTGGATGGTCGTGGGCCTTACGGGAGCATATATTGGATGGTCGTGGGGCCTACTGGAGCATATATTGGAGAGTTTTGGGCCCTACTGAAGCATATATTGGATGGTCGTGGGGCCTACTGGAGCATATACTAGAGTAACTAGAGGGTCGTGGGTCATACTGGAGCATATGCTAGAGTAACTAGAGGGTCGTGGGTCCTACTGGAGCATATACTAGAGTAACTAGACCGGCATGGGTCCTACTGGAGCAAATATTGGAGGAACGTAGGTCCTACTTTAGCATATATTGGAGTCATGGTTCCTACTTGAGCATATATTGGAGGGTCATGGGTCGTATTGGAGCATATACTAGAGTATCTAGAGGGTCGTGGCTCCTACTGGAGCATATACTAGAGTAACGAGAAGGTCATGGGTCTTACTGGAGCATATATTGGTGGGTTATGGGTCGTACTGGAGCATATATTGGAGGGTCATGGGTCTTGTTGGAGCATATACTAGAATAACTAAAGGGTGTGGGTCCTACTGGAGCATATACTAGGTATAACTAGAGGGTCGTGGGTCCTACTGGAGCATATACTAGAGTAACTAGAGCGTCGTGGGTCATACTGGAACATATACTAGAGTAACTAGTGGGTCGTGGGTCCTACTGGAGCATATACTAGAGTAACTAGTGGGTCGTGGGTCCTACTGGAGCATTTACTAGAGTAACTAGAGGGTCGTGGGTCATACTGGAGCATATACTAGAGTAACTAGAGGGTCGTGGGTCCTACTGGAACATATACTAGAGTAACTAGTGGGTCGTGGGTCCTACTGGAGCATATACTCGAGTAACTAAAGGGTCGTGGGTCATACTGGAGGATATACTAGAGTAACTAGTGGGTCGTGGGTCCTACTGGAGCATATACTAGAGTAACTAGTGGGCTCTTGGGTCCTACTGGAGCATATACTAGAGTAACTAAACTGTCGTGGGTCATGCTGGAGCATATACTAGAGTAACTAGTGGGTCGTGGGTCCTTCAGCATATTCACTGGTTGATAAAAACTTATTATAATAAAATGTTTACAATAACTAACATCCTCTTCACTCTACGGTCAGCTGAAGGGACGCCATCGGGTGTTGAAACTTATTGGTATAGAAGCACTGTACTGTAGGTGTATATAACTAGTCCAGTGTACATCAGTGGATCACATCTTCAGTGTAACTCTTAGGTAATCTCCAGCAAAATAAGTTCACTATTCTCTCTGTTCCCTTCGGCGGGTTTGATTTATGTATCGTCACTAATAAAAACAAAGGCGTGGGGTATCAAGTGTCTTGCCACAGGCAACAGATGAGATAGGAGTCAGTTCTTACCAGTAATGGTCAACAGGGCGCCGATGGCGGTGAAGTAAGGGATGAGGAGGAACACTGACCTGTGAAAGAGAGTGACAGTAAACATTGTGGTACACCTGACACACACTACACAAGGTGTACGACACATACACTCACACCCAGACGTCCTAAGCTCTGAACTTTGTCACACTCCCTCATAATTATTCGCCATCCTCGCTCCCTGTACACTCCAGTAAACATCACGTTCTTATATCTCTAAAAGCACATGCACACGTATACCCAACTAAGCGCATACGTATACCGCCACCAAACACACACGTACACACACCCACGCAGTACTCACAGGTAGGCGTGGGTGAGGCTCTTCATGCTGGAGTACCGCTGGACGGCCGTCTGAGAGGTGCCGTAGGTCACAATGGTGCCGAATAAACTCGCCCACGACAGACCCCACACGGTGTGTCGCTCAAATATGTCCGGACTCCAGCTGACCAAAACAACAATACAGTGTAATGCAACATAAAATGTAATAATAATAAAAATTAGATACACTGTAAATAAACAGATAAACTATTCACTTAATTGTGACACACAATTCTCGCCGGAGCCTTGATCATTTTGTAGCTGCTGTTACTTACTTGAGAACCTGTAGTCCTGCACGCTTATGTTTGACGTTGATGTCCCAGACCTTCTGCAGGCTGCCCACCTCGTTCACTCCCATGATGACGACGGTCATGAGGCCTCCTACGACGATCACAAACTGTAGGGCGTCGGTCCACACCACCGCCTTCAGGCCTCCCTGCAGTGTCGACACCTTCACTTAGAATATTTAGTTATAGGCATCGTGAGTGTAAACCCCTATGGTGTTAGCGCCGCCAGGAGACCCGATAATGAGTGAAGTAGAGACGTTATATAGAGTCCAGATAATACTTGACGTTTAAACACCACACTCTGGAGCCCAGGCTCCACCCCAAGTCCAGATATCACTTAAGTGGTCCATAAACAAATGGAATTTCAAGTACCACTTGAAGTTCAAACTTCACTTAACATTCCTCATCCACCTGGAATTCAGTGAGGAAGACAATTTTTTAATCCAAATATCAACTGAAATCTTGGCACCAGAAAATGATGTTGAATTTTCCAAGAGTTCTTTCCTGTGAGGGAATGAATGCCTACAACTGTGCTGAAGACGTGACATTAAAGTGAGGTCGTTGTGTCCCACAGATAACTAATATACTGAAGTACTACGTCACACACAGGCTGGTAGACTTAAGGAAGTTTGTCCCAGCATAAGAGGTGGAAGTGAGAGCTATGCTGAGCAAGACGATCAAGAATAATAGAGGGATCCTACACAGGCCACTAAGCCTTCCTTCCCCGACGTGGCCATGGAATTCTCTAATTATGTATATATTTGTGTAATCAATACTCACGATGGTAGTGTAGAAGGAGGCGATAGCGCCCACGACAAGGATGGCGAGCCACATGGGGAAGTCGGTGACGGCAGCGAGGGCGAGAGCCGGGGCGTAGATGACGATGGCCTGGTAGAGAAGCGTCTGCGTGATGAAGAGGGCGCTGGCGACACGACGCGTTGTCACAGAGTTGAACCGCATCTCCAGGTACTGTGTGAGTCATGACCGTACAAGTTAGTGTGGCAGTGTTGACAACTGTCTGCCTAGCAGTTGTACTTTATTACTATCTGTAAGTTGACAGTCTTAAAACGTGAACTTCTCTCGTTTTAGATTGCCTGGGTGACTGCTCGTATAACATTTGGGGACGCTATTGCTTTGTGCTTAGTAGTTAAATTATATGGTAGGATATAAACTGCCGTCGTTAAAAGCGTTATAGAACTATTAATGTATGAAGAACAGGGAGGTTTAGGACAGTATTAATGAAACCGGAGTAGAAACGCAAGTGATAGAGAGGAGCTTATAAAAGAGGACGAAGATTCTGTTTATGACAGGTGAGAGGTCGGGTTGAATGACTATGAGAGTGCACTTTATGGAGGGAAAGTGGGAGAATGATCCAAAAGGAGATGGACGTTATATTTTAATTATTAAGTTTATTGGGGTCTTGCATTCTGACATTAGGTATGACTGGCTGAAGGATTTGCGGATTATGGTAAAGTAAATACGGATAATTCTATTTGTTGTTCCATCCCTTTACTGTAGCTTTCTAAACTTGCTTTGTCGTTCCTTCCCAAGCAGTCCTCTTCTTTAAGATGAGAGAGAGGAATAAAATGAATAGACTAACATATCACAATGGCAATTTAAAGCTGTATCATATTTCCGCTAATGATATATTAAACTACGTACCTCGTAAACGGAGACAATTTGCAGCTCGTAGTAGAAGGGGACAAAGACGATGGCAGCAATGGGTACTCCCAGGAAGCCCAGATCGGCAAAGAAAGGCTGCATGCTATGGTAGAAGGTCTCAGCGGGGGAGCCTGTAACCAAGATAAATGGTGATGTTGGTGAGTGTGGTGATCCCACCATCCTGGTGACCTATTTTACGTCCTACATTATCTACAGTAACCCTCCCATGTCCTACATTATCTACAGTAACCCTCCCATGTCCTACATTATCTTCAGTAACCCTCCCATGTCCTACATTATCTACAGTAACCCTCCCATGTCCTACATTATCTTCAGTAACCCTCCCATGTCCTACATTATCTTCAGTAACCCTCCCATGTCCTACATTATCTACAGTAACCCTCCCATGTCCTACATTATCTTCAGTAACCCTCCCATGTCCTACATTATCTACAGTAACCCTCCCATGTCCTACATTATCTACAGTAACCCTCCCATGTCCTACATTATCTTCAGTAACCCTCCCATGTCCTACACTATCTACAGTAACCCTCCCATGTCCTACACTATCTTCACTAGCCCTCCCATGTCCTACGTTATCTTTATTAACCCTCACATGTCCTACATTACCTTCAGTAACCCTCCCATTTCCTACGTTATCTTCAGTAACCCTTCCATGTCCTACATTATATTCAATAACCCTCCCATGTCCTACATTATCTTCAGTAACCCTCCCATGTCCTACATCATCTTCAGTAACCCTCCCATGTCCTACATTATCTTCAGTAACCCTCCCATGTCCTACATTATCTTCAGTAACCCTCCCATGTCCTACATTATCTTCAGTAACCCTTCCATGTCCTATATTATCTTCAGTAACCCTCCCATGTCCTACATTAACTTCAGTAACCCTCACATGTCCTACAGTAACTCCCGCGTTAACATCACCCACCTTGAAGAGATATAGCTGAGAGGTAGGTCACCACCAGCGACATGGACATGGGCAGGCAAGTCATGCTTCGGCCGCCCACCAAGAACTCGTCGTTGCCCTTGTTGCGACTCTTGATGGCGAAGTAGACGCCCACCAGGAGGGAGAGCAGCAGCATGAGGCTAAACACCCCGTAGTCCAACCAGGAGAGGGTGCCGCCACCCATGGTGCTCCCTACAAGCGTGGCCTCCTTCATGGTGACTGTGGAGTGGTGGTCCTCGGAGATTAACGTGTATTGACAAACATGTGAGGCTAATATGAATGCAATATCTTGTTATATGGATATTACACACAAGCAATAAACAGGAAGCATGAATAATGGTTTTCGAGAAAGAGAAGGAGACAGCAGACTACCCAGAAGCACGCCTGGGTATATGCGTGGAAGATTTTAGACTTTCCTGAGAACAGTTACGGCGACGACACGGTAAATGTGTCAGACGTACGCATAAAACGTTTGGTATTGAGGATTGTACTGCTGCTCTACAAGATGGTGAAACATTTAAGATAAAAACTGCAGTATCAATATACTGAAACATCCTTCCAGCTGTGTTGGTTTACTGCTAGTAGTGTGGTGTCAAGGCCAGGGTAATGTGACTACAGGACTTGATGAAGAGAATGCGTATGTCGTTTATACACACATACGTAGACATGTTACGTAGATGAACATATTCAATCACACACATACACAATCATGCAGAAATATAAACATACACCCATATACACTGAAGCACACTCATTCAACAACATTCCCACAAACCGATACACTTAGGGCTAAATGTACACAAGTTGCCAAGTATATAAGCAGTCCAGCTGTACAACTTTCACTCAAGGCCAACGTGTTTATATACCTGTAGTCTGAAGAATAAGAACAGCTATCGTCTACTGCTATGTGCTGTGCGTGTTTTTGTAAAGCTTATTTATAACTGACACACAAGTTTACTTCTTTTTTGTACAAGTTTGAAGTTACTGGTGGTTGTTGAATACTGTACTTGTATTCTCAGCTAACGTCAAACTATCACTATATCGGTTTTACTGTTAGTTAGCGGATTGTCTTATATTCATTATCCTCCCCATAATTACAAGGTAGGGTAATGAATTTGGTCCTGAATGTCTGCTTCACCACACTGTTTAGGTTTGATCAACTTATGACAAGGTCCTTGTTATAAGTACGTGGTGTTAATCGCGCAAGATTAACCAAATGTTGTCAGGGCTAAGGTTCGCGTAATTATACCAGGATTTATTATCGGGTGTTAAAGAAAACGCAGATATGAGACATTCCCCCTTCGGTAACTATTAATTTACACTAATAGCGTCACTAGTTCGATATCTACCCTTCCGGGACTCCTGTAGCAGCTACTGTAGGTCATAAAATGGGTTGAAATATTAACATATATTTACAGTAGGATTACTTTTAAAATGTTTATTTGTTTTCATGTTATTTTGATACAATATATATAACTAGTGAAATACAACGTCAACCAGCTACACGCATGACCTATAGTATGTGCCAGATCTTGTTAACTGTCTTGATCAACACCTAGCATTGTCATCATATTCTCGGCACGCTGTAAACCTTACAACATTTGTACTTGGTACTTTGTAACGTTCATGTTGTCCTCAATATAACAACTTCACTTGACATTGTACGATACAGTCCTATTTGACACCACGTGACTGAATTTACATTTGTGAGGTGCTTTGTGTGTGAGATGTTTACTAAGCTGGCCCACTGACTTGCTACGTGCAAATGATCGTGGTTAATTCACTTTTCGATACATTGCTGTTGATTAAGGCACCGTTTTTATAGTAATGTTATCACACAGGACTTAATGTACACTCGCTCCAATGAATTTCAAAATGAACATTGTGACTCCTGTTGCCTCGGTAGGGTTATAAAGACACTTTTTGTAGTGTGTGTGTGTTTACCTATACACTGCACCTTTATATCTGGAAAAAAGTTTATGCGTGTGATGTAAACAAGAGCGAGTGTCACTTACCTGTGTGGCCGGGGTGCTGAGGCAGACTGATGGCTGTTTACCTTCACCACCTTGGCTCTTGTGGGTCAGTCAGTCAGTACCTTCGTTTTTTTTTTCATCGTACGGAAAGTTCAAACTTATTCTCTGGGTTTTCCCCCGCCAGGACCGGAGATAGTGGAGGCAAGATAATGTGAACTAATTGAGGTCAGATGACAGAGGTCAAGACACTTTGCGATAGGCCGCGTGGTGGTGGTGGCACTATTAAAACATTCTTGTCAATAAGCAGTGCTGGAAGTTTATTATTTTTTTTTTTTTTTTCATTGAGTCGAGGAGGTGACGCGCCCCAACACCACACACAGCCCTCAGACGACAGCAGTAGTCCATTTGAGAGTACAAGTCTTATAAATTATTGTCAACTGTTCATCAGCGAAGTAAGGCCTGACTTTGAACATTAGTCCAAGTTTCATTGAATCAGTTTGGGTTCATTTTTTGGCGAAATTTGTCATGATAAAACTCGAAAGAGGAATGATGACCTAAAATCTGATGATGATGTCAGTAGTTATGTTGAACTGCGCAGTTATTAAATATTATGTATCGTGTTGTACTAACCTAGAGGGAACCGTGTTGGGTCTAACCCCCTCACCCAGGCGTGTCTGTTGCCGGGCATTTAAAACATCAGATCACAAAACGTCAAATATTTCTTAATTCTTTAGTAAGTTCAAAGAAAATTATTCAGAAACAAAGGAAAAAAATGAAATTTCCTGAATAGAAGTCTTAGTGGGGAGTAAAATAACCTCGTGTGCCACCTTCTCTATCACCTTGGTCTGTGCTCAAACTTTCAAGCTCGATATTTTCTTTTTGGTTGCTGCCGTCTGTAATTGCGACCTCTCATAATCATTTTCCACCCCTGATGTATATAGGGTGTCCCAGAAAAATATCCCTCCCTCCCTCCCTGCCTGCCTGCCTGCCTGCCTGCCTGCCTGCTCCCTGAGACACTGTGAGTTGGAGGCAGGCAGGAAGCAGACAGGGAGGCAGGGTCATTTTTCTGGGTCACCCTTATTCTCCTCGGTAGTGGCGTATTATAAGAACATAAGAATGGAGGAAACTGCAGCGGGCCTATTGGCCCATACTGGGCAGTCCCATTTACACCCAACCCCTATTGCTCATATATCCATCCAACCTATGTTTGAAGCTATCCAGCGTATTCGAGTTAATGATGATATTTGGTAACTTGTTCCACTCGTCCACTACTCTATTTCCAAACCAATGTTACGGGGAGATATGATAGAAGTATTTAAGTGGGTGAAAGGAATCAATAAAGGGGATATAGATAAAGTTCTTATAATATCCGACCAGGATAGGACTCGGAGCAACGGATCCAAGTTGGATAACTTTAGGTTTAGGAGGGAGATAGGAAGGAACTGGTTCACAAATAGGGTGGTGGACGAGTGGAACAAGCTTAGCAACTTTGTAGTAAGTGCGGGAACTCTGGAAAGTTTCAAAAGGAGGCTAGATAGATTCATGGATGATAGAGAGTGGTAGTAACTCTCGACAGGAGCCGCCATGCACAGGCCAACCGGCCTATTGCAGACTCCTTATTTTCTTATGTTCTTATGTTCTATTTCGCGCCTAAATCTAAATTTGTCTAATTTAAAACCATTGTTACGAGTTCGCTCCTGGTTGGATAGTTTGAGTACCTTTGTAAAGTTCCCTTTGTTCAGCCCTGACTTCCATTTATACACCTCTATCATGTCGCCCCTCACTCTACGTCTCTCGAGGGAGTGCAAATTAAGATACTTTAACCTGTCTCTGTACTCAAGGTTCCTAATGCCCGGAATTAGTCTTGTCATTCTCCTCTGAATTCTTTCCAAGGATTCTATATCCATTCTGTAATACGGTGACCAGAACTGACCTGCGTAATCCAAGTGAGGTCTCACAAGCGCAAGATATAGTTTTAGGATGACCTCGCTAGTCTTGTAACTAACACTCCTTTGTATGAACCCAAGTACTTTATTAGCCTTGTTTCTAGCAAATGCACATTGTTTACTTGGCTTAAGATTCCTACTTATCATTACTCCTAAATCTCTCTCGCAGTCGGATTTCTCATTAACATCGTTGTTCATCTGGTATCTGGTTTCCCTGTTTACATTTCCTATACTGAGTTCTTTACATTTGTCCACATTGAATCTCATCTGCCATTTCTCTATTATTACTACTCTCCTCCTACACCTCTCCCACCTTCCCTTTACTCCTCTGCTCGGTTTGACATTGCTAGGGGGCGTAGATCGGGCAGAGTAATCATGGGGCACCTGATGTCTGTCTGTCATGCTCCAGCGCCACGTTGGATTTCATTTTACTCCTGGTATGTGTATAAAAAGACTCGGGATCTTTCTTAATATTTTGGGCTAATTTCACCTGAAAGTGCCTCTTAGCTGATCTATTTTCCTGACTGACCACATGTAGGGTTCTTGTGTATACTGTACCGTAGGAGGGCTGAAAAGGAGTTCCAAAGGCTGGTTGCACGCGAGGTCAAGTCAAACCCAAAGGCGTTTTACCGCTATGCAAAGTCGAAATTGAAAACGCGAGTAGGAGTATCAGACCTGAGGCTTGAAGATGGTAGTTACGCAGATTCTGACCAGGATAAAGCTGAGGCATTGAACAGCTTCTTTTCCTCAGTGTTCACAAGAGAGGATGCAACTAACCTTCCTGCGTTTGAGGACAGACGGTTCGACACAGCACTGACCCACATTGTGTTCACAGAAGAGGGTATTAGAAATAAACTGTCCAGGCTAAAGGTCCATAAGAGTCCTGGACCTGACATGGTGCATCCTAGAGTGCTAAGGGAGCTGTGCAACGAGCTTGCAGAGCCCCTGAAGATTCTGTTTTGTAAATGCCTGGATGAACAAATGGTCCCCAGTGAATGGAAAGTGGCTTATGTGAGTCCTATCTTCAAGAAGGGCGATAGTCACTCCACGAACAACTATAGACCGGTGAGCCTGACCAGCATAATATGTAAAGTACTTGAGAGTATTATCAGAGATGCAGCGATGGAACATCTACTACGAAACAACCTTGTAAAAGATTGCCAACACGGTTTTATGCCGGGGCGCTCTTGCTTGACACAATTGCTCAAGGTATTGGATATTTGGACCCATATTCTAGAACGGGGTGGTAATATCGACAATATTTACCTAGATTTTGCCAAGGCTTTCGACAGTGTACCCCACGAAAGGCTGAAAATCAAACTGGAAGGGTACGGAATTCGGGGAAATGTCCTAGCGTGGATAGAAGACTTTCTACATGACCGCAAGCAATGTGTGGTGATTAATGGCACGAAATCGTCATCTGTACCTGTAACAAGTGGGGTACCGCAGGGTAGTGTATTGGGCCCGCTGTTGTTTGTTTGTTTCATAAATGATATGCCTGACGTTGTACACTCCTCCATACAAATGTTTGCCGATGATGGCAAGTTATTTCGGGAAATTAAGAACCAAGCGGACTGTGAAGAGCTGCAGAAGGACCTCTGTGGGCTCCAGGAATGGTCGAAGGAATGGCTGCTGAGATTCAATGTCACGAAGTGTAAGAGGATGCACCTGGGGCGTACCAACGGTAAGGAGGCGTACCATATGTCCCAACGGGATGAAGAAAATGTACTAGTTGAGACTGTGTGTGAGAAGGACCTAGGTGTGTATGTTGACAATGAGCTGAAGTTCTCGGGCCATTGTGAGAAGAAGGTAAATCAGGCAAATAAATTATTGGGTCTTATAAGAAGGTCGTTCAGATATCTAGACGGTCCGTCCCTCGTGACGATCTTCAGGAGTGAAGTGCTTCCCCATCTGGAGTACTGTCACCCCATCTGGTCCCCGAGATATGCTAGGGACTGTCAGTTGGTTGAAAATGTTCAAAGGAGGGCCACCAAACTGGTGCCTGCACTTCGGCACCTCAGCTACCCTGAGAGATTGGAGCGCCTGAACTTGCCTAGCTTATACTACAGACGGGCAAGGGGGGACCTAGTTGAGGTTTATAAGCATCTCAGGGGGCACTACTCAGTTGAGTGTCCTTACTTGGAGCTGGCGGACGCTCGCCCCACAAGGGGTCACAGCTCAAGATTGAAGAAGCCGCAAGTCCAGAAAACCGTGAGGGCAAACTTTTTCGGAGTGAGGGTTGTAAACTCTTGGAACAATCTACCAGAGAGTGTTGTGACGGCACCGAGTGTGAGCTCTTTCAAGAGAAGACTTGACCAACACTGGAGCGGGTTCAGGTACATTCAGGAGCCGGTGCATGCCCAGTATTTCCCAACAGTGCGTGACAGAGACGTGACCGATCGCCCGGGCGGCTAGCGAGCCGACCTTTTGGTGAAGAATATAAAGGAAAAGAGACGTGACCGATCGCCCAAGCGGCTAACAAGCCGATCAGTGGCGAAGAGGATAAAAGTAAAAGTAAAAAGTAATACATACATACATAGTCTACGTGATGTCTTGTGCTCCGGTGATTCTTTTGCAGACTCTCCTAGGTTTCCTGGTCTTGTGCCTCTCTTCCTCCGCTTTGTCTCAAGAGTTTCCACAAATTCTTGCAATGATTCGTCTATGTCTGTTTCCTCTTTAACAACATCCCCTGGTTAATACTGCGTGTGTGTATAGGTAGGAGAAGGGTGAGCGGGGGTGATCTGTACTGTCTATATACTGTACAGAAGTGAATCTTGCCATATCTTGTCTTGTCAAACACTGAATATATTAATTCCATTAGTGTGAGAGGAAGATGGTGTTGATTACTTCGGCTGTTTTCCCCACAGTACTTGGCCAAGGGTGTGGGTCTCAGTAACGTTCACACACCATAGTGAACGTAACTGATGTCTAGCTAGTGTTATATAAGAATATCTATTATGATCCCAAAAAGTTTACTTATAAATATCAATACTAGAATATTTTTAGTAATAAATGAGAATTATTTATTGCGTATGAATTGTTTTCACGTGTTGAATCCTCAAACCTTAAAAAAAAGGCAATATGCTCATATGAATGCACTGTTATCGTTTCGCCAGTATCCACTTACATTCCTTACATCCCTTCCAGACGTATAAAGATGTCATGAAATAC